TTACACCACAAGGAATCCACCAGATATTTAGGAATCTGGGTATCTCTGTTTAATAACAGACAATTCATTACTAAACAAATTTGTGATGAGTTTACCAAAACAAAGAACATGCTTGACAAGAAAAGGCTGACTGCCAAACAGATGATTGCTATCTTTAATACAGTAGTCATTACTTGACTATTATATAAAACAAAACTGACGTTTGTTTCTCGTTCAGCCTGTGACACTTTGATGGCCTCCTTCAGAAATTCTTTAAAAAGAAATTAGGACTTTCAAGATTTATATCTTCTTCTGTTCTTCACTCAACCTTTGGTTATAATCTAACACATCTGTACGATAAACAGATACAAGCTAAATCATCCGATTTATTAAAGATGATTAATGATATTTCACTCCTTGGTTCAACCTCGCAGTTACGAATTCTACAACTACAACTTTTGGAATGACTACCCTCATCCTCACTAACTGACTGGCCTTACATGAACACTAAGCTCTTTAAAGATTAGTGGTCAGGATTCCTATCAGCTGCTAAGTAGATTGGAATTAATTTCAACAATGTATAGACAAAGACTACAACTTAAAACAAATAGAAGGAGGGTTACTCCTAATAATACATTTCCTCCCTTCTAAGGTATATCAGCAAAATGTAATGAAACTGCGATCACTCTCGCTCTTATACATCGATCAACTCATCACAATGGATGGTACTAACCTGTTCATAGCCTTTGACCTAAATATGATTTACGACTCTATATTTCATAATACTAAATAGTTCAAACAACTAGAATCGCAGCTTTTAACCAATACTTCGAATAGACTCCTACTTAATAAATGCTCCCTCATACATCACTTATCAAAATGCCATCTCAACCTACCAATTTCAACGCTTCAGTAACCAATCTAACTTTTATTGTAATCTGGTCTAACCAGTATATGACATTCATATTAGGCAAAGTAATTAAAGTTGAAGATACTATCATTCATGCATAACATTATTTGCCAAATCAAGCTGACTGCCTTCAAACACCTATTGCTCCTTGTACTAGATGTAATCTTTTTGACAATTCAGCTTTTATACCTTACAAATAATAACAATGTCATCAATTTTGCGCTATTAGATTACCCAAGTCATTCTGTTCTATATTTAAAGTTTTTCACAAACCTCGTGAGGGATGGTAATGTAGTCTCTCCCACCTTATGCTTTGAAAAGTCACCTTATCAATGTTAACATCTCCTTATCAATATCCAACCAAACCTATACCTAACTTAGATATACTACCATTCGATCAAATATCTATTAATAGTTTAGATTGTCTCAAATCACAATTTACTAATGCTAATTTTTTCCAATTTTATACAGATGGTTCTCTTACATCCTTAGGAACTTCTAACTACCAGATGGGAATAGTGTGGTTACAAACTGATCAAAATTGGCCTTTGCTCTCCTTTAATTTAACACTTGTTTCACACTCTTCCTCTTCAACATTAGCTGAATTGGTTGCTATTCTTGCTGCAACCTATGCCGCCCCACCTAACTCCAACATTGAAATCTGTATAGATTCACAAGCTGCAATTGCCTCATATCATAAAATTATTACCATATGCGAGGAATCTCCTTCTCTGAACCCTACCTTCAAAATTCCTTATTTCCATATTTGGATGATCTTAATACAACTTATTACAACCAATAACATTATACTATTACTGACAAAAGTCAAAGCTCATGGATCAGATCAACTTAACAATAAAGTAGATGCTCTAGCAAAATAACTTTCTGGTGCTCCGTTGAGTATTAATAGCAATCACCTCAGTCCTAAATACTTTATGAGCTATAACAATACACCAATCATTATGCCACCACGTTTATTTATTAAACACTTGCAACAAGTATCTTAGGCTGGAACACTCTTAACTCTCCCTCAATTTAACAAATATAACAATTTTCATATTGATTGGCAAATTCTCTTCTATGTCCTTAATGATTCAGAAAATGCTAAGGTGATATTATTTGATGCGTGCAAAAGAAAGCAATTCAAAATTAAATTATTATTACAGTTACTTCCTACTTTAACAATAATGAATGCACAATATCTTAAAACTTATACCACTAGTACTTGCTTCCATTGTAATATTGCAATTGAAGACTTTGATCACATTTGGTCTTATCCTAAAAATATAACTTCTCTTACTGACATCATCCAAAAACACAAACAGTCATTCTTGTCTCACCTTAAAGAGCTAAATAGACCTAATAATGATATTCTAATTGATACTATTGATCAATCTTCAATATGGTATTGCAACTTATTCAATAATAACTTATATTTTATTGATCTCTTAAAAGGAATTATCCCTTCATCATTTTCCTCCTCAATCAACTCCATTACCAATAACAAACAACTCACCCGAGGTTTATTATCCTCCTTATTTGATGATATTTTCTCCTTAGCTCACGATATATGGTTAACAAGATACACATCACTACAACTTTAGAAAACTACAAACAATATCAAAGATGATTTCACTGTTGCTTAGGTATCCTTTGAACTTCCAAAACCTACACAAACCCCTCAAAGTAATCTCTCCTCTTTCTTAACAGCTGTTGCTTTCGGTTCTCACTGGTCAAATTTTTGATATGGCAGTAACCACGCCTTCCCTTTCAGACGTTCGATATCTGTATTTTAGGTTAGATTAGTTTCTTCTCTTTTCTGATATATAGTTTAGTTCGGTAAAAATGCAAGGTTGGTATTGATAAAGTAGTTTAGTCCACTAGATTAGTTTATAAATATTTTTGTATTTTCTGTCTTATTTTGTTTTTCTTGTAATTTCATAAATATTAATAAAGATCATGCGAGACTGCCGCACTTAATAAAAAAAAATCATTTTGGCATATCAATTTTAGGTGTAATAATATTATCGATATTGTATCAAATAAACTGAATTATGTTTTCATTTTAAAAGAAAGCAAATAATTTAAGAAAAAATCTGGAAAAAAATTTTGAATAATAATAGTAACTTAATGTTAGACTTTTTCGTAAAATCTTTTTTTTCTTTTTTTTGTAATTACAACTGACAAGGTAGTATAAAAAGTTCACAGAACTCGAGGCTCATACAACTACAGCAAGCTTCTTACACGTGGCTTGACTTATGATCTTGCATGTTTATTGTGATCTACAGAAAGTAGTATATGAAACTTCTAGTAGTTCTAAGAATTTTAACAATTACAGTAAGCTTTTTACGCATGGCCTAATTTATGATCTTATATATTCATTGTTGTCTGCTTTGCTAGTTGCCTTTTTTGTAATATTTATAATATTCATGTACTTTGTAGAAATCATCGAGCTAGGTTCCAGAAAGTTAGCAAATTCTGGAACAATATTGAAAATGAATATTTACATAAAAACTTAATTTAGAAGAGAAGAAATTGCTGTTAGATAAGGTAAATATTTTATTTTTGTGATAACAACTGCAATGGTAATGGAAAATATTAATGCAAAGCTAGTATGATTTAATTTATATACAATATATATTATCAGCAAATAAAATAATCAATTTAATAATTAAGTTTTAGTTTCTGTGATAGAAATTTTAATCAAAAATATAGTTTATCTGATATATTTGAATTTATTGATAGAATCGAAAGTGAAACATTTAAAAAGGTTAGTCCAGAATAAATACATATTTAGTCTGCAGGAATGCTTTATACATTCTCTACTTTTTGGATGTGACAGATTATATTTACTCTTATAAATTGCAATAACAAAACTGAAAAGCAAGATGGACAATTTGAAATGGATCTTATGAGTATTAGGAAATAGTTGGAGATGGAATCACTTATTGAGGTATGTAATAGGTTAAACAAACCTGAAAAAAACTGAACTTTTTTACCATATTTTTTAATGCTATTTACATGTTTAAGTGGAAGGTTGGTAATATAAACATCATATAGAAGTTTTGTGTATGTCAAATATTTCTCATTTAACTTATCAAGGATTTTAAAAAACGCAGTGAAGAATTCACACCACCTTTACAAATACAATTTATAACAGAGTTTCCCAATTCTTCACAATTTAGAAAATTGCTTGAATTATCATGAGAAAAAATAATAAATATTTTTTCTTATATAATAATGTAACTAGTCATAAAATTTAATAGTTATTTGTATTAATAAAGCTGGTCCTAATACTCTATTTGTTTTTTTTTCACTATAGTATACAGTAATAAGAGATAATTTGAACCATTGATTTTCTTTGTACACATTTTGGTTAAATGGATGAAATTTCTAATCCAAGAACATTTTATATACTTTGATCATTTTCATACAAAATTAAATTACCAACTCCATTTTTCCATTTCTACAACCACCAAAATATAATCAAAGTAGGTATCCTGACTTTGCTTTGATATTCATTAATTATAGTTTTTGATAAAAATTTTAATCACAGTATCATCACGTTTTACAAATTCTGTTGATGCACTTTTTTCATTGACTAAGTTAACTTCAATCTTGTAATATCTGACCTTATTCTATCTTACACTTTTTATTTTAATTGAAAAGGAAGAGTTGAAAGAAAGAAAAATTGACTAATCAATATAGCAAATAGAATCATATATTATGAGCTATAATAGTTCTTTTTCAGTGAATGTGTATCAAATACTCACTTAAATAAATAAATAATCGAAATGGAAAATGATTTTTTTAAGTCAAGCAAATATAATTTAAGCAAAAGGTACAAGTCATGGTATACCAAAATGTTCTATAGAAAGCAAAGTTAGAAAATTAAGATATAACACAGTGCAAACAAGAATGAAGCAACAGCTATAAAGTTAAAATCTGCTATCTTATTCATTGCGATAGGTTGTTTTACGATAATTTGAATGCAATTTACAGAACGAAGAGAAAAGCACAAGTAAGTATTCAGTATTATTGACAAATATAACTGTGAAGATAAAAAAAAATTACACTATATATTGTTGATTAAAATTTTTCATACTCGCATTTAGCACAATTCTTTCATAAAATTTTCAGTTGATGGAAGTATATCAGATGTAGAAACACCAGTAGGAACTTGCAACGTTGAACAAGGTTAAAAAGAAAAAAATTTTTTTAGATCTGATGATTAGTTAATTTATAAGTACCAATTAGACTATAGGTTGGAACATTTTTCAGTATCTTCTTTAGTCTTGTAATTTCAATATTAATAGCAATCCTAATAATTTCAAAGTAATCCATTTTCAAAAGGTTGCATTCATTGATTTTATAAATCATGTTTTGATAACATCCAATTTGAACTCCTCGTGATTCATTTTGTTGATTTTTCTTAATGTGTTTTCAACTTGTACAAAAAGACAAAACCTTTTAGAAACTAAAGGTAATGATTATAGGATATAATGCAGAATAAATGGGTTTTCCTTTTATATTTTGAGTAGCAAAACTAATAGGTGTTAATATCAGATAATCTGATAATTACTTAATATTAAATTATTTCCATTCTTATGATATTATCTTGTTCGGTAATTATTGTAAATTGCTGATGTAAAATCCTTTTTAATTGCTGTTGAATTTTAATAATTATTATTATTTTAAGAATAGAATATATTTAGTCATTACCAGAAAAATACTTAAATGTATGTCTGTATTATATAAAGAAATTAAATGTTTGATCGTTAGTACTGTTTCTTGAAGATTTGTTGACGTATTTGACATTATTTTTTATTTCTTTCGAAAATTAAATACATTTTTGTTCGTTCAAATATCAATTAGATTTGTTACTCACTATATTAAATTTATTATTAAGCAATTTGAGAAATTTAATTTATTTAGTTAAATGTTACCTTCATTTCTAGAAATTATTCTTTTACAATAAAAAAGCGTGTAAAAAGATTAAATGTTCAAATGCCTTATTATCCAAATACAATTTAAATTTATTTTTCATCCGATATTGGTAAATATGATCATAAGTTGACTTTGCTGGTTAAAAATATAACTAAAAGGTTGATTACTAAAAAGGTAATGAATGCGAGAACGCGACATTATTATTATTATTATAATTGTCTTCTATTTGAAATTACCCTAAAGAAATAAACTTTTGTTCCAAAAATGAAAATATACCTAAATAATCGACGCTAGTGGATAACCATCCATAAGGAGATTGTTAATTGTTCATGCATGCATGCGAACAAGATTGTCGTGATGGCATTTCATAAGCACTTTATGACAGATATACTTGTATATGGAATCCACTTTAATACCTTTAGTATAGATTAACAACAACCTTTTATAACTTTGAGTCAAGCCGAAAACTCAAAAAAAGAAGTTAACGAGAAAATTACAACATAAGTTGTAAAACAATCATTCACGATTCCACATTTTTACAAGAACCAAAATTTTAAGAACAGTGTCAAGACTTTTGAAAGTTCCACCTGGTGCTAATTGAACGTCAAGTGATTGCAATAAAATAGACTATGCTTGTGGAAATCCTCTTGCTTTCATGAATCAATATGTTAACCCAAGAAACGTTAGACTTCTCAATGAAGCTTTAATCGTTCGTGCGTCAGTTGATGGTGATTTCACTTACATCGTCGTACTATTTATCTTCCCACTTTTGATCGTCGCCTTTAATTCACGATCTCGCAAATATTTATTAATTTTTTGTCGCTAAATTAGCATTAATTTTTAAACAGACTTTTTAGACTTTTTTAATAATGAAATCTTATTAGTCGGTTTATTATTATTATTATTATAATTATTATTATTATATGTTAAAAAACTTTTTAGCTAATTTACCGAAACTTCTTAATAAATCATAACGCATTTTTTGTTTAAATATCAGATTTCTAATATGTAAATCTTTATATATTTTTTTTTTTAATCCTCATTGCTCTTTTATTTTACTTTCTTTTTTGATCAATCTAGAGCTAATGAGTGCAACGATTATTATCCCACTTATAATAATGAAAAATAGCGTTAAAATGGATGGTTCAAGCGTTTGAACTAGTGGAGATTGAGCTGAAAGAGGTTCAAATGTATTAACCCATGTATAATTTCTAATATCCATCAAATAAATACTTGAAGAGAGGTCCTTCGGGGGAGCATCTGGTAAAGTAATATTTCCTATATAATTAAAATTTTATATTAATGATTATAAAAAAAAAATGACACCCTTTGTTTTTCCTTTCGTAAACAATAATTTACCGAAACCAACGATCATATAATATCCAACTAGATTTGCTGTGTGAGCTGCAAGTGAAGGAAATTTATCAATATTTGAGGATACTTTTGGGACAGTCCATTCAAAGGGAATTTTTTGAGTGTTTAAAACTGCTATGTCTGGAGTAACCCGGAAATTTTGTTCTGCTTCATTAGCTCTGGAACCACCACAAATAATAATTCGGTTGTCGGAAACTTTTTATTTTAAATAAATAAATAAATATAATTAATTTCATAATAAAAAGAAAAAGAACATCTCATTTTCATTTATTTTTTTTTTTTTGAAAAAAAAAAAAAGTATCATACCAAATACAGCAGAGTGTAAATAACGAGAATCGATTCGACCTGTGCTTATTGCATTCTTAAATCAAATAAAATGTTAATAAATTTTAACAACAAACGTCAGTAATAATCATAATACATTACTTACCATCGCTGACCAAGTCGCTTTCTTTGTATCATAAAGGACAATTCGATTAATGTCCGCTTCAAGTATACCCTTAGCATTTTTTTCTCGACCTCCAATAAACACGATCTTACCATCCGGTAACATTGTCGCAGTATAATGATCTCGTCGTATAGGAGCCTTTACCGAGTCAAAGGTCAAATCATTTGTATTAAATGTTATAAGATCATAAAGAATGCGAGCCACATCCGAGCCAGTTAAGTTATCGGTGAACCCGCCAAGAAGATAAATCTTTCCAGTATCATCAACAACAGCTTTCATGTTTCTTCGACTTTTAAATTCATTTCCTTTAACCGCGGGAACATCCCATTGTTCCGAATTTGTATTAAATCTATATGTAAAAGATGATAATGTAATATCATTGTTTTCCACGTCTCTCATAATTCCACCAAATAGATAAATATCGTCATTAACTAGGGCGGTAGTTGTCCATGAGTTTCTCACTGGAATAGGTGATGAAACATCAAATGGTGGAGCGGTTGCATTAAATGGTTCTTTCAAATCAATATAAAGTGCTTCATCTGAGGTATAGAAGATGGCATATCCACCGAAAAAGTAAAGCCTAGATCCTACAAGAACTGATGAATGAGCTAACCGTCCCGCTGGTTCAAGAGATTTGACTCCAATAATGTAAATTCCTAATATTAAAACATGAAAATAAAAATATCGCAAAACTGATTTATGATTAAGCATTTTTTTTTAATAAAATAAGAAAATTTACTTTATTTCATTTTTAATATGAACGAATACATTATATTATATATTTCACTTCCCCCCCCCCCCGATCTATTGCTCATTTTAGCATTCCGATTAACTTTGGCAGATCATTTTTTAATTTTTAAAAAGAGCTTGAAAAGGAATTTCCGAATTATTTTCTTTGACGATTCCTTTTTAAACATTTCATTAATTTTTTAGTGTTCTAATCCTGCTGTTCGAATAAATTTTTTTTATTTCGGGAAATCCAAGTATATGGAAACAGGATTTTGGCTAATGAAACCTTGTTTTTATTTTTTTTTAAAAAATTATATGATTACCTTTGAAGAATTAAACATTAGCGTAGTAAGAAAATTTTTTATGGTCATACTAGTATTTGCATCCTGTCCCAATATCTAGGTCCCCAACTCTCCTTAATATCATTTTTTTTTTTATGCATTTCTTAATATACTACCCTCAAAAAAAGTGCTCCGTCAAATTAATTTTATTATTAAATTATAATATTTAATATTAAGTTGATCATCCTTTACTTATTTTAATGGATGCTTCAATTTGACGTGATTATAAGTTCAGATTTGATATTTCCATTCTTACAATGCTTCTTTGAGCTCATGCAAATTCTTTGGATGTTCGGTTCTTTTACTTTCAAGTTCATGCACAAATGCTCAATAGGATTAAGATCCGGAGAATGAAAGGACAATCCGGAAGATTAATGAATTTTTTTCCCATTTTAAAATATGTACAGTTAAAAAGTGAAATGATCAATACTAAAATCAATATCGATAAAAATTGATTTTTTTATTACCAAATCCGGTATACGTGTCTTAATGCATAACCAAAGCATTTATTTATGATTATAAGAGTTTGACCGGATACGTTTGATAGTTCGTGTATCAGTATTTGAAGGAAAGTTTTATTTTATTAATGGGTAAATCATATCATCATCCAAAAATCAAACTTATTTTTTTTTTTAATAAAATTACCTATTAAGTAAAAACAGTAAAAAATGTGAAAATGTAAAATTTTCATATAAAGATAATCACTAAAAATATACATCCAAATTTTCGCGTCTATACCAAAGGTAATTTCATTAATAATAATAAAAAAAAAGGCCTATTTTAAAATTCAAACGCATTTTTCATGGAAAACGCGTCAATGACGCGCGAAAAAAGCGAAGGTTAATGATACAATTTAATTTACAAATATAAATATCAATAAAAGTTATTAATACAAACAAACTAAAAGAAAAAAAATAATACATTCTTTGAACATAAAAAATCAACTAATAACTTAATTAAATTAAATGCAAATGTGCAAAATGATATGTTATAATGTGTAATGGATGTTAAGATGTAAGATTATATCAAACCAAATGAAAGAAAAGAGTTGACAGTTCCGAGGTAACATTACGGAATGAAAAAATTTTCATCCATCCATATAATTGGTGTTTACGTCGCAACGCTTATCTCCATAGTCCTTTTTCTTTTGCTGACATCTCTCTAATGAGTATAAATTTTAGATTCATGAGAGTTCTTTTAATCAGCTGGAATGATCGGATACAAAATATATGATCACATATTTTTGTAAATAAGAATTGATCTGTTGATCTAAGACAAATATTCGACAAGTGACTCAACCACTTGACCCATAGATGGTCGCTAAAGGTAGAGAATTCGTTAATACTTTATGTAAAATAAAATTACAATAACTAAGCATGTATTTACCGCTTTTGGATCTTTTTGCCACATAGATTCAACTAGTTTAAGGAGTGTAATTGGATAATTCCTTAAATTTTCTATTGGAGGACGAACATTTTTATCTCTAACAGCTTCATATAATTGAT